CTCCATGGCCGGGGGGGTGCCCAGCTCTTCCAGCGACTCGATGAAGTCGAAACTTCTACAGTGGCGCTTGTTGAAGGGCTGCTCGCGAGACAGGGAGGAGGACATGGAGGCGTCACATTGTGCCAGAGGCTGACAGACAACGGAATCCCCGGGGGCTGCTGTCGCCACCTTGATGTCTTGGTACACTGTGGACACCAGGATGTCAGGTGGGTCTGTTCGTGTCATCTTAAAAGCGACTCTTCTCCCACCAGTTCCCTGTCACACGGCCTCAGAGGACGGTAGCCCACCCTGCAAGAGAACACATGTGGTGCCTCAATCCTGGAGTGACCTCGCATCAATCCCCAGCTCAAAGCTGCTGGCTCAGAACTGGGGGTTGGCCATCTCTTCAGAAATGAAGGTTTGGGAGTAACCCAGCCTCCACTGCTGCTGTTGATTGTCAGCTGGAAGAAGAAACTGGAAGAAGTCTACAGATCCAGGGTGCAAATCACAGAGCAGCTGGCAGGACACCCGTGGGGGCAGCCAGGGAACTCTGCATACCAGCTCAGCACAGCGAGAGGAGAACACAGAGTACTGTGCCCTCCTCCTGGGCTGCAGGACACGGGGACTGTCTTGCAGAATCACATGAATTGGCAGGCCTGAGCACGGCTGTGGGGGGTCAACACCAGAGGTTTCCGCGGGGAATGTGTGTTCAGCCCTGGTGAGAACCGGCAGTGGTGAGGGGTCTCTGGGACTGTGTGTACCCATGTCCCAGCACCAGCGCTGTAGGGGGGAACAGGGCCCAGGGACAGGCACCGTGAGGACCCACCATGGTGGCTGGGAAGCCTCACGGTCTGGGGCTCTGTAGGAGGCAGGAGCCACAACCCCTCCCTGCGGCAGCTGCACCCACTGTGACCCACAAACACCCCTGTGGGGTGGTCACAGTGCAGGCTATGCAGAGTTGCATCACTCCCTGGCTATTTCAGACCAGGGACGACCCAAGGGGTGGCAGAGGGGTGCTGTGGTGGGTGCCCAAATACACGTCAGAAGTGATTCCTGCATCACCTCCCTGTGCCAGAGGAGGTGTGCTGGCTCAGTACCCGCTGGCTTTGTCATCTTCTGTGTCCCATGGCTGTGATGCGTCCCTTGGGCAGGAGAGGAAGTGTGGCAGTGGCTTCAGCTGCTGTGGGACATGGGATCTGACACCCACTGCGTGCCAACACCAGGAACACCAGTGCTCTGGGACAACGCTGTTGGGTGGCCAGGGTGGGCAGAGTCCCCAGCCACAGCATGACACAGCTGTGTGACAGAGGACACCAGCACAAGATTCCCACAGTGCATGGAGGGGACAGAAGGGAAGAAGTCTGCCTGCAGGGCTAAGTGGGTTGTAGCACTGACCTTCCCCACCAGCCCTTTGAGAGCTGCCATGGGTTGCTGCCAGCACTGGGGGATGTGCACCTTCTCTGCCCACAGTGAGGGTGTGTGTGCCCCGCAGGCTGCCACCTCACCACATTCTCTGAGCACTGGGTGTTGTGGCCACCAAGGGTCTGGGTGTGCTGGTTGATGCTGGCTGCTCTGTGTTGGGCTAAAGGTGGGTGGGCACTTGGCTTTAAAGAGCAGCAGAGGACCACAGGGAAGATGTTTCTTGGAGAAAAGGAATTGACTTTTTATTATTATTAAATAAAAATATTTATTATTATAAGGAATCGACTGAATATTTAGCAAGAAGCATTGACTATGCAGAGAGGGGGAGGGGGCTTGGATTCCTCCTCAAAGGGGGCTTTGGGTTCCTCAAAGCTGAGGGGGTGCAGATGCCAGAGCTGAAGTGACTTCAGTGGGCTTGGGGCGTCTGTCCGTGTGATGGGCTGGGGAGAGCAAGATGCCATGAGAAAGGAGATGGGGGTCCCAGTGCCTCCCTGCAGAGCTGGGAGGGCAGGTTTGCCTCCAAAGAGGCAGCCCATTATTGGCTCTGCTGTGTTACAGTAGGTGGGAGCTGGGCTGGATCTGCAAAGCAGCACCCCACACCGCAGTGATGGTGACAGTGGTGCTGGGAAGCCCATTCGTGTGGTCTCAGGGTGGCTGGTAGGCAGGGAACTGTAACCCAGGGTCCTACCTGGTCCAGCAGCAGCAGTGAGGGGGTGGGTGGGCTGAGGTGGACGAGGGGCCTGTGGCAGCTCCATCCCAGCACTGCAAAACAAAAAAGCAGGTGAGACTCCTGGGACACCCCCAGTGCGGTGGAGGTGTGGCTTCCGGGGCCATGGATGCCTTGTGAGCACATGGAACACCCCAAGAGACCCCTGCAGCCACAGCCCCGCTGAACCAAAAGGAACTGTCACCCAGCGAGGCCACTGTGCACATCCCTGTGCACTGGGGACGTGGGCGCTGCATCCCATGGGCACCAGTGTCTTCCACCCACCCAGCAGCACCCACCACCGGTGGAGCTGTGGGGTTGCCATGGTTTCTCAAAATTATTCCTCCTCTGTGAGGACAGCGTGGGTGCAGGGGGAGGCTGCTTGGGGAGCTGGGGCTTTGTGGCACCTCACGAAGCTGCAGGAATCCTCTGCCTATTGAGTGGGGAAGAGCCGGGATGGCCCCACAGTGCTGCCAGTGCCATTATGATCACATTATGCTATACCGGCCTCTGCCACCGACTGCATCCCCTCTGCTCTCCAACCTCCCGGTTGGTGAGCACCCCTTCATTGGCCACGTTGGCAGGCAGCAGCCTCCCTACCCGGGGTGCCCACACGATGTCACCCCGAGGATGTGGCACCTGCCGGCAGCGCCTGCAGAACAGCCGGTGCCCACGGAATGGACGGGACCCGCCACCCGTGGGGTGCTGCCCTTGCTCCCGTCACAGCCACGCGCTGCTGCCACCGTGAGCACCGGGCTCCGGCAGCGCGACCGA